ATTTCCGCCTTGGTTGTTGTTGTTCCAATTACCACCACCTTGTTGATTGCCCCAATTTCCTTGGGGTCGCCATTGTTGATTTGAAGAGTTGCCTCGATTGCCTTGATAGTTATTGACATATTGAACTTCTTCGCTTTGCTCATCATAACACTCATTTGAAAAACCACCGCCATCATCATATTGATCACAATTTCCTTGAGGTTGTTGCCCTCTTTGCCTTCTCTTAAGCATATTCACTCCTTCCATGGCATTGACTTGGCGAGGATTTTGGACTTGTTGTAATTGCGTCTTAGCTAATTGATTCATAGTAGTAGTAAGCTCGGCAATAGCTTGACCATGGTCATGCAACTCCTTGTGCAAATGGATCACCGTAGGGTCACCTTGAGGAACATTGGCCCTACTTTGCCAAGCCGAAGAAGTGTCGGCCATCTCGTCAAGAATATCACAAGCTTCATTGTAAGGAAGCTTCATAAAGTTGCCTCCGGCCAATTGGTTCACAATGCATTGATTAGTGGTGTTGATGCCCCGATAAAAGGTTTGTTGAATCATTGCCTCGATCATATCATTGTTTGGGCATTCTTTCACCATTGTTCTAAATCTCTCCCATATTTCTTGCAAGGGTTCCGTTGGCTCTTGCTTGAAGGCCAAAATTTCATCACGAAGCGCCGCCATGTGATTCGGCAAAAAGAACTTGGAAATAAACTTGTCCGCTAATTCATCCCACGTAGTGATGGAATGATTGGGGAGCTTTTCTAACAAATCCAACGCTTTACCCCGAAGAGAAAACGGGAAAAGCCTCAATCTCAAAGCATCCTCAGACACGTTTGTTTGCTTGCTACCCCAGCATGTATCTACGAACCCCTTCAAGTGCTTGTAGGCATTTTGATCGGAGGCGCCCGTAAAATACCCTCGTTGCTCGAGCAAGGTCAACATGACATTTGTGATTTGAAAGTTCCCCGCCCGGATTCGGGGAGGAACGATGGCACTCGCATATCCTTGATTTGGTAGCACCCGAGGAACCGCTCTTGGAGGTGGCGGAGGAGGGTCTGGAACGTTGTCATTAGCATTGGCCTGGCGGCCACGTCGTGGTCCTGGAGGTACAAGAGGCACCTCATCATCTCCAATATCCTCAACCTCCTCCCCCGCAAGCACGTTTCCAAGAGGGTCATTTGCGTTTAAAGCCATTGGGTACCTGTAGTAATCACACACACAATTTAGTAAATAAGAAGGAAAGAAGAACAACACACAAAACTAACTAAATAGATAGCCAAAACCGTTAGCTCCCCGGCAACGACGCCAAAAAGTTGATCGCTGCCAACTCCACACTACTATAAAGTAGGAAGAGAGGGTCGCAATAGCTTTTACCCGATATGAGGGTCGGGATCGAATTCCTCAGAGAGCTAGAAATTGGAGCTGGGTATCTATCTAGACTAGAGTCGTGTAATTGTTCTAAATGTCACTTCTAACATTTTTGGGTTTTTTAATTATAAACTACTATTATCAAACTACTAATTGAAACTAGATTATGCTACGAGATAATTGCTAAAGTTGTATCTAATGGGAAGAAGGGCACTAGGGTCGTGACATCACCTAGGTGGCTAATTGATGGGTAGATGTTACTAAGGTTCGATTGACATAATTGGGGCTTATGCCATAACCATTGCACAATTTTACCCACTCTCACACCTCTCGGTAGAGAGAGTGATTTTGCCCAATTGACTCTCTCGAGACCAAATGGGTAGGCAAATTAGGACAAGCAACTAGGGTTCAAGTAGGGTGATTACTCTCTCGAGATTTAACCCGTTAATTGGGACTACCATTTCTCATGAGTCCATCCCAATTCCTTGTTGGGTCAATTTTGGGGTCATAGACTCTCTTTCTCAAGAAAAGTTAAACCCACAAAGATTGAATCAGTATTTGCAACCACCAATTCTAAATTAAAACATAAAATCAACCCAAATAGCAAACACTCATAGTCAATCTAACCCTAGATAGAAATTACCCACACTAGGGTTGAGCCACAACCCTAGCTAAAGGGTTTAGCTACACATACTTGAAAGAGAAAATGAAGAAATAGATGAAGAACAAGACATAATAACTAAATACTAAATTAAATTGCAAGAATCTATCGTTAATTTGAAGCTAAGATGCCAAAAATGGCTACAAAAGTTGTTCCCACGAGCGCAGCTGTGTTCTAGAGATAACAGATGACCTAAAAATTGTAAAATATTCTATTTATACTAAGCTGGAAAAACTGGACAAAAATACCCCTGCGGGGTCAGTGCGGGCCGCACTAAATGGACCGCGGCCGCATTGGGCTCTTGAAATTCAAAATTTAGCTTATCTGAACTTGGACTCTGCGGACCGTGTAGAATGGACCGCAACCGCGGAGGGAGTTGGTGTAGTCCGCACAATAATGACCGCGGACCGCATGGCATTGTCTTGGCAAAATTGTAGTTCTCTGAATCTCTCGACCGCGGACCGCACAAAAGAGTAGTGAGGCCGCGGAGCCCTGACCGCGGACCGCGAGATATGGACCGCGGCCGCATTGCCTCTAGCCTAATTTTACCAACTCTCTGAACCACCTAGTGCGGCCGCATTCCACTTTGCGCGGTCCGTACTAGGCCTTTCTTCCCTTAGCTTTCTTAGTCTTTGATACTTGAGCAGGTTTCACTCCTTTTTGAGCCGATCTTTGACATTTCGTCACTTTGTCGAGCAAACCTGCAAACAAGCACAACCTGTGAGCCTTTTGGGACTATTTTGTACAAATATATGATCAAAGCATAGCCAAGTAGGGGCATAAAACATGTTAAAATCCTAACTTATCACCCCTCTACAGAATGTACTTTGGTTTTACCTTTTAATATTTAAATAAGGATCCCCTACTATATAAAGGGGATCCGAGCTCTGTAAAGGGGGATTGATTCATTTGGGATATAAATTTTTCTCTTGCTCTCTCATCTCTCTAAGATTATCTCTTTTCCTCTCTCTCATATACAATATTGTTGCAAGAACCGATTATCAAGATCATCCTAGGGTTTATTATTTTTGATTACGATTTGCCCCTTCATTTCTTTTTGATTGATTTGCTTAAAAAGTGTTTAATAACTTTTGAGTCAAACGGTGATGTTGAAACTTGTAATTAGAAACTTAAGCGAGAGGTCTTCAAAAATACAATAAGCGGTTGGTTGTGGAAGGCACGAGAAGAGGTAGAGGGCGGCCTAAGAAGTATTGGGGAGAGGTGATCAAATTTCCGAGGACATGACACTTGATAGGACGTTGTGGAGGTCGAGTATTACGGTTGTAGGCTAGGCGGTAGTTGAGTCTTACGTTACTTTGTACCTTTGTGAGCCTAGTCCGGTAGGGTTTTGTCTAAGAGAGCTAGGGGCAATGTCGTGTCTTACTATTTTCCTTTTCGGCGTTGGATCCATTTACTAACCACCATTTTTGCTTTGCATTTTTCTTTTGCATTTTATGTTCCTATTTTTCCTATGATCTCTGTGATGAATCTAATATCCTCTCCTTTTGTCTTCTTTTTATTATCTTGAGCCGAGGTCTTTTGGAAACTGCCTCTCTACCCGTTCGGGGTAGGGGTAAGGTCTGCGTACACACTACCCTCTCCAAACCCTACTCGTGAGATTTTACTGGGTTGTTGTTGTTGTTGTTCTTAAAATAATATATCAATGAGCCTTTATGTTTTCATTTAGCATTTATCCACTATAAAAAAGGATTAGGGGAAATAGTGAGTTTTTCAGTCTCAAAAACATAATATATTCTCAACGTGTCATATTAGATCGCATATGTATACTTCCTCCATTCTATTTTACTTGTCCACTATACTAAAAATATATTTTTATTTTTACTTATTCATTATACTAAATCAAGAGAAAAATAATCTTTTTTTTCTTGTTTTATCCTTATCATTAACTACTCATTCCCCAAATTATTTTTCAAGACTTTTAAAAATGTTACCATTATTCTGGATAAAATTGTAAAATATATACTTTATTTATTAATATTTAATTTTAAAATGAGTACAATGTCAAAAGAGGTGGACAACTAAAATTAATGAAAGAAGAAGAAGAAAAAGAAGAATTAGACTGAGGCAGCTCTAGAAGCTAGGAGTTCGATCGCTGTTTCAATAATGTTAGTGTCCAAAAGTGACATACTTTGCTTGAGTGCTTGTACAGCAAGGGTCATGGACACATTAGTTGGCCCTCGTCGACTTTAAATTCATTTTAGAGTTTCGAGGGTCTAACCTTATCATTCCCTCTGTTCATTTTTACTTGATATGTATATTAAAAATAGATTTTCATTTTTACTTGTTACTTTATGCATATTAAGAGAAAGACACATTTTTTCCCCTATTATACCCACAGTATTTATTACTCATTTCAAATCATTTTCTCAAATCCAATAAAATATGCATCAATTAATATGAGTATCATGATAAATTATACACTTCATTTATTATTTCTTAAGGAGTGTGAAAAGTCAAAACGTGCCAACTAAAAGTGAACGGAGGGAATAGTATTCATTGTAGAAGCTAGGACTTTAATTCATTCCGTAAAGATTTTGCTGAAGTACATTTCATTTTAGGGTTTAATTATGTACCACGGATAACGTAGCACATTTTATATCAAATTATTTAAAAGTAAACAACAATAAACATTATAGAAAAAGTGAACCAGAAAACTGAAGAGAAATTTATATTTTTTAGTTGGTTCAAAAAATAATAGCCGACAATTTTTTTTTTATATATGTGTCTTATATACAAAAAATATACATATTTTATATACTTTTTGGCTAGCAAATACAATTATTTTCAAACCGATCAATTTTGTAATTTGCTCAAAACTTCTTAAAAAAGGTATATATATAACGGTCATACAACTTGTACTGTTGTAAATGTTAACAACCTCCTTGTACTTCCAAGTTATGAAACGAAACTACATACAATAGCTAACTTGGAAAATGCATAGACAGTGACAAGGGCTATAGAAAATCAAAAAAATAGTAGTAGTAGTATCCATTAATATTGCATTAAAAACACTGAACTTTCAATCGTACACAGGAAAAAAATTGATTAAATTTCAAAATCAACAGCTGGCATACTTAATGATACACAACAAATTCAATAAGAGGGACATTTGGAGGAGAAAAATTGGGAAAATGTAAGTCGCCATCATTCATCAATGTTTAAGGACATTTGCGGGTGTTGTTATGAGTAGTAAGGTTGAAGTAGCAAGGGCAAGCTTCATAATTGCCAGAGGTCCCTGGTGGCACGCAGTGGCAGGTACGGCAGCAACTTCCACATGCTCTGTTGCATAGATTTGGCCTAGACGACTCGCTGCACCTATATTCACAGGCTCCTGTACAATCTGTAACGTAGTCGAATTCAGAATTTAGAGTCAATGAATTCAAAATGATCGTGATATGATGATACATTTGTCGTGGAGGAAATATATATGTAGTAAATGTTATATTACCTAATGGCTTTGGAGCTTGAGGGCTTGGTGCTGGTGGCTTACTGTTGTTTCCCTGCACCAAACATTACAAAATCGAATGTTATTTCAAGATGAAAGAGAGTTAAAACATGATATGGTATTTGAGCTTTAAAAAAAGAGGAATTAACCTGTTGAAGAGCATGAGTGAAATGGACAAGCACAAGTGATGCAATAAGCAAAGCAGCAAACGCCTTTTGGAATGCCATTGTTTCAGATACAAAAGGAATGAGAGTAGGAAGGAGAAAACTGATCAGAGCTCTAAAATCTGAGCTGGCCTTCACTATGGATGTGAAGTAAAGAGAAGAGTGATGTATTTATAGCACAAGAAAATATGTACACCATCCACCCCACGACTGATTTTATTTTGTGTCTGTTGTGTGTGAGGCCTCTTTTTATCTCATATATTTATAGACCCATATCTTACACATCAGGGTTCACAAAATTCTGGAACTCACACAGTTATGAGACAAAAAAGAGGTTTCACACAACTAGTGTCAGTTGTGTGAGTTACAAAATAAAATTTTTCCCACCCCACACTTTCTTGGGGTGTGGACATAGGTGGGCTTAAGTTAGACATATTTTTATCGAGCTCAAGTGTTCGTCTGGTCACTAGTTAGATTGAAGTGTTTAACTTAGTACAAATTATGCCAAATTCAAGGGGTTATATTGGTATTTAGCCTTAAAATTTCTACTTGTGATGCAGAACAAGTACTAACTAGTCAATACATTCGGATAGTAAAAGGTTCGCACGAAATTGTATGGTTACAACTTTTGATTCGAGTGGATTTAAAAGACAGTCAAAATAGATCTAGCCCCAGTCAATGTTGGCCGTCTTAGGCCAATGGGCCTCAAAATTCTTCTATTTTCACCACCGTCCAGTCTACTACTTTACCGTAATTCTATCTTTTTATGAAGGGGTGTGCATTCGAATCGGTTTATCGATAAATCGAATTGATTATTTGTTATCGGTTTATCGATTTATCGATTTTGATTTCGAAATTTTCCTTATCGAGTTATCGATTTCGATTTCGATTTTGTCCTCTTGGTTATCGGTTTATCGATAAACCGATAAGAAATACTAAATTTTTTTTTTTACCCTTATTCTATAATACCCTTTTCTTTACCCTAAGTTCCTAACCCTATTATTTCATCTACCACATTTAAGGAATGATCATATTTAAAGCTCAAGGGAATGAAGTTCAAATTAATGGAAAATAGAATTAGCCGTGATGATGTATTTTTTTTTATACCGTTGGAGTGTTGGTGGCATACATTTGAACCCTTACTTTAGTTTCGTTGTATGTGTTTGTTGACACAATTTTTATGTTATAAACGGTGTTCGTCTTATTTTAGCTTCTTTTGGTCCATATTAGTTAGGCATGTTTATAGCGATATACTTTCCGTGGAATCCCGCAAATTTTCTTATTGGTGTAATCGATAACCGAATCGATAAGCCCCAAAAATCGATAAATCGAAATCGAAAAAATCGAAACCTTATTGAAACGATAACGATAAGCATATGTACAAATCGATAATCGATAAGTAATTATCGATAAGGGTTAAAATCGAATCAATAAATCGAATGCACACCCATATTTTTATGTGCTCGTTGTTTAAGTCCGATATTTTGCATTTTTGTTACTGGTTTTCTAAGATGATTTAGGTTGAATTCAATAATTTTATGATTTAGTATCTTAAATACATTTTTGGGCCTAGGACTTTGATAAAAATTTGGAGAAATATTTTTTTAGCCGTTTTAAAAAATAATAGCCTATATATATATATATATATATATATATATATATATACTACTCTATTCTTTATTTATATACTACTTGCGGAAGTGCTGTTATCAGTCATTCGCATATTAACGTCATTTTCATGTGTTCCCCAAAATCAACTTGTCTCAGTGATGATGTGCAGACAAGAAATGGGAAGTAGCTTCGAAAGTCGCACTTCCAGCCTAGCTTCCCACCAGACTAGATTCTTGAAAAAGAGTTTATTCTACTGTGTTCTTTTTATATACATTAACAAATGAATGTTAAACTATTACTATGTCATTGAAAAATATTTTAAATGATTGTTTACTAAAAGCAAAATTTATAAATATACATAGGTTAAATCCAATGTAAATACAGTAGGAGAATAAGAAGCATCTTGCAAGATTTGCTACCGCAACTTAGTGGGCGTTTGGACATTCATTGAAAAAATCTGAAACGAGTGAAAATGGTATTTGAAAATTAGAGTTGTGTTTGAACATGAATATTATTTAGGGTTGTTTTTGAATTTTTGTGAGTGATCTGAGTGAAAATTTTGAAAAACAGATTTTTAGAGTTTTTTTTTTCTTTCAAATTTTCGAAAAATTTCAAAATTTATATTTAAGTGATAAAAATTTTATGGCCAAACACTGATTTAAAAAAAAGCAAAAAATTTTCGAGAAAAAGTGAAAAAGTTTTCATAACCAAACGGGCTCTTAGATAACAAGAACATAGTTTATGACAGTATCTCCCAATTTGCATTAATAATTACTGATCAAGTTTAACTTAAGATTTGTGATTATGACAAGTCCTTAGTTGAATTATATTGTTTTGATTATTTGGTGAAAACTTGCCTGGTAATAGTTTATTCATTTGGACAAATAAATTACATATTTGGAAACTAGCTTTTCTTTGGATATGTAGCTTTGTTACGAAACTTAGCTCAAAGTAATAATATAAACAAGAAGATAGACAATAATGTAGAGAGAAAGAGAGGAGAGAATCTATTTCTTCTATGTACTCAAGTGTATTACAAAATGAGTTCTCATCCTCGATTTATAGTACAACATAGAGGTATACCAAAAGAATTCCATAAGTATGCCATTAAGCATTTGAGATCATGGAAGAAGATCATGGGTAGGTTATGAAGGTGAGGGAGTTATAACAATAATGGTGAGAAGTAGTGGGGGTTATCTACATAATGGAGAAGAGTAGTGGGAGTTATATTTGATTAGTGGACATCCATATAAATATGTATTTCATAACACTCACCCTTGGATGTCCATAGATAATGTGCCTCGTTAAAATCTTACTAAGAAAAAATCATGGAGGAAAAAATCTAAGTGAAGTAAAAAGAGTACACATATCTTGTAATATGCATTACTTGCCGCCTCATTAAAAACCTTGCCAGGAAAACCCAGTGGGATAAAACCTTAGCTAAGGAAAAAAGAGTACAACGTTTTCTCCCCCTGATGAAAATATCACTTTATTTCTCGGAGACGCCGAATTCCAAGCTTGTATAACAACTTCTCTAATATTGAGATCGGCAATGCCTTCGTGAATTATTCCGCCAAATTATCACTTGAAGGAATTTCTTGAACATCTATTTCATCATTCTATTGAATATCGTCTTTTCAAAGAAAAGTCACACGTCCTCACATGGAAATAGATTGTTTGAACAACGAACTATGCCCTGCATTTGTATAACCAACAAAACCTTGACAATATTTGTTAGAATAAACAAATCTATATCAAGGATTCCTTTTGCAATAATATTAATCATATTTCAATATCTCCATATAGCCTTTATACTTTCAGTTGTTGGGACTATTCGTCCAACTTCATATTTTTCAGATGAAGTCAATTTTCATTGCATATTTTTCATTTGGCCAATCATTTATCTGTCCAAATTCCAGGACAGATTTGAGCTCAACATCCTCGTCAATATTAATAATATTGGGCGCTACATTATATAAACAATATCGTCAATGATCATTTTACATCGGTTCCGTCATTGCCCACTAAAGACATAACTTATTAAGATCTCTTTATTTCATTATTTTCAGGTACCTGAGCCTCTCCCACGAGGTCTTATAAAGTGTTATGTCATGGTGCTCTTATAAAGCACTTGCCTCGTTATTGTGACCATCTTGAACAATTGCTTCTCTCCTTCTTCAAGGAGTTTTATCTTTGGAACCGATTACTGTATTACGCTTCATGCGTGTCATAAACTCTGTCCATCATGGACTTTATTCTATTTTGGTGCATTAACAGCTGAAATATGACATTTAGCTTTTGGTCAGCAAATGCTCCAGGCACAATATTTTGGAAATGAATTATCACTTGAACTTCAAGTTCACATAAATTCACATTTTCTTGTACGAGGATCTAGATGTATTCATAATAATTCATTCCACGTATCACTGTTTCAGCTGCCCATTTTCTCCCCTAATGTTAGGATCACCAATACATTTCTCAACCTTATTTGGGAACCCATCTTTGTGCATTGTGGTGTCACAATTAAATCATATAGCACATCTATATTTCAAGATGAAAATTATTTGGTTCCTGACCCTGAACCAATTGTGACGGGGAGAATTTATCATAACTTGGCTAGATGCGTACAAGTGCTGCTCTGTATTAAATAATACATCTCATACCAAATTTCCTTTTGGTAATTTTGTTCTCATAACTAATGTTTTAGCTATAATTGGAGGCATACAATCTCTGCTAAACCAACTTGGATTTAAACCAGCATTATCAAGATAAATTTATATTCTGGACTCTGCTCTAATAATTTGAGCAATCAATCTTGCAAAATCCAAACTGCAAGTTGACAACAAACGCACATATGACCATATAATAGATGCATCTATTAAAATCATATAATAGTAAACGGTCCACATGGCAGGTGATTGGGCCCATATATATATATATCACCTTTTATTCGTTCCAGATCTTAAGGGATTCAATCCCAACATTAATTGGTATATCATGAGAATATGCAGCACAAGAGAATTCTTGAAGAATCTTCTATTTCTTCAATATATGCCAATGTGAATTCTCAATTAATTTTTGCATCATAATTGAATCGGGATGGCCAACCCGTTCATGCCAACTAATATTTGTTTTAGTAAACCTCTAGTTTACTTGTGGCATGTGATTCCATCATCATGCTTATACTTGTGTAGTACAAATAAAAGAAAAATCGGGTAACCTTTTATATTTACCCGGTATGTTTATAGTAATATGAAGATATTCAATCTTCCTTTCATTTATAGTCTCAATATGCCAACCATTTTGGCTAATATATTTGAAACTCAAAAATTCCGTTTGAGACTTACTACAATATCAATGTCATGAACAATTTCATTCATCCGGGTAGTAACAAATTAGCTCTTCCGGAGCTTTTAATTGATTTTGTACTATAAAATCTTTTGTCACACCATCCATATGGTGAATGTCTCCTTCACGGAGAAAATTATATCATAATAATTGTCATGGTCAAAATCATCATAAGCAAAATCATTTCTTGCTTTACTTTTGCCTTTAAT